GGTGATGGACAGTATAGGATAAAAACATCTAACCAAAACAAAACGCTTCATGAAAGCATCAAACTCCAGAATCAATGGCTGTGTCTTTTAGGATTACATGATCACCTGCACAGATGTCGAGCAGATCATTCTGGGAATCCTTAAACATCGCTTTATATAACAAAATGTGCTGTTGCTAAGAGCACTCAGAGTTGTTCTTCACTGTCTTAATTACAAGAGCCGGGTCAGAATGAGTAAAGACTGCCACTGACCCAGATAATCAGCACCACAGAAAGTCAGTTAACTGTCTCTTTTACCCAAATTCTCTCTCTCTCTCGTCCGTCCCAGAGCATATAACTCACTACACTGAACTGCAAGAGCACAGGAAGCAAACGCATTAAACCATCTACAAAATGCTCCGAAGGGAGCTCATATGCGTCTTGCTGTGTCAGAGGATACTGCTTTTATCTTCATTGAAAAGATTCTAATTGCACTTTACTGGATCATAACGCAGTTGCATGTCGGGTTAACGCACCACAATAGATACTTCTTGTCTCTTCCTCCCTGTCTATCAGCTACAAACACTGATGCTTTTGCATAATGTGTCCAGTGAAAGTTGATATATTTAGTGTGTTAATCCATGAGAGCAATGGGACAGATGCTTGACATACATATGTCCCTTGTGTCTCCTGTGCAGTTGACCCGTGTCTGCCCTCTTAACATTGTGGAGGTAGTTATGTCTTCATAGAAGAACAGCTTACAATCAATCTGTCATCATCTCTCATGAACCTACAATCTTCCACTTCATTTAAAGGGGTTATGTCATAAAGCTTTTTTTCTGTGTGTGTGTGTGTGTGTGTGTATGTAATTAAAATATATCAGCAAGGATAACACAAATAAAAAACTAATAAATAATCCTGATAATATAATTAATGCTGTCAAGTGGATTAATCACATCTAACGTAAAAGTTTGTGTTTAATAAATGTGTGTACATACAGTATCTATCTATCTATCTATCTATCTATCTATCTATCTATCTATCTATATATCTATCTATCTATCCATCTATCTATCTATCTATCTTGTGTTTAATAAATGTGTGTACATACAGTATCTATCTATCTATCTATAAACACTCACACATACACAGACATACTGTGTATATTTAATAAACATTTAATATATATGCACATTACATACATACATACATACATATACAGTATATATATATATATATATATACACATAGATATACAGTATATAGGCCTATATATATATATATATATATATACACACACACACACACACACACACACACTAACACAATATGCAAACAAACTTGTTAGATGTGATTAATCAATAAAGGCGCTAAATATATTGTATTATATTATTTTATAATAGATATAAAATACTAAATATAATATAAAAAAAACTCTTTCATCATTTGTCCACTTAAAAAAAACCATCCGAGTCTCCGTAAATAAACTTCTCACTAAAACAGTACGCATCCTCACTGACACTTCTGCTTTCACTGTGCAGCAAATGTCAGTTTTATAGAGTAATGGAAATGTTATGTCATTGTGGGAGCTCTCAGTCCAAAAAAAAAAACCCAAAGAGGTCATCTTTAGCAGAGCTGGCATCAGTTTGGCACTCAAGCTGACTGACAGAAAAGTCTTCCAGTGACTGACACCATATGCCAAGTGTGTGTGTGCCAAGGCTGTATCTAAGGTAACCATGTGTGCCTCTGGAGCCTTGTGGCAGTTTAGGGATGATAAATTATGCACTCCAGACCGAACTGGCTCACATTCACTCAGCTGTACATGCAAAAAGAAAATGAAGAAAAATGATTACACTCACATACTTACAAACACTATTTAGTTTTGAGTAGGTATCGGCAAAGTTTTTTTTTTCCGATACCGTTGCCAAATCTACACTTTTAAAACTGTACTGGTGCCTAAACGGTGCCTGAACCGATACGATAACGTCATTAAAGAACGGATTTTTTATTGAAAAAAATTTAAAACTCTTAAAATTGAACAATATATTACAATTTTAAAGTATACTTAAATATATTTAAACAACAAATATATTAAACAATAAATAAATACACAACAAATTCACAATAAAACCTAAGCCATCTAACCCAACTACAATCATTTAACACTAAAAAACAGTTATAGTACTAATAACAGCTAAGTAGTCTGAGACGTCCTTGGAAAAAAAAACCCCAAACAATTTAGATGCTCTTAGTTTGCTAAGTGGTGTCCTTCATAGACCTCATTGACAGCATACTTATACTGAACATTAATAAAAAAAAAAAAAAAAATAAAAGCCTACTGACAATAAGTATTTAAGGAAACCCTTTTTTTGCTGTTTAATTGCATCTGACTTTGTGATAACTAAGTGTAATATGCATCTTTTTGTAATTTGGAACTAATAAACATTTTCAGCCTAAAGAAAAAAAATATAATAGATTTTGGATGAATTAAAACTTCAATTTCAGTTTTGGTACTACTCAAAAATGTTATAGTAAACACCTAACTTTACACCCCTACTTAGGCTTGCCGCGATAGACGGTGTTGACGGTGTTACCGGTTTTAAGCCCCATCACCGGTGACATCACTTTCCCACCGTGACACCGCGATGTCTTGACTTTTTTTTTAAAGTATTCGTTTTTGCTAAAATATTTATTTGAATTAATTAAAAATAATAATTTTCAATTATTTAGTTCTGAAGAGAGCATTATAATTAAAAATGAACTGCGCAACGCGTGCCGTCACGTCACAGATCAGCAAGCATCAGGATTCCATTTAGCACGTGTGGAGACGAGAACGAGTCAAATTACAGAAAAGCAAGATAATGGCGGAAGATTTGGTGTCAAAACGCAATGCAAAAGCGCCTGTTTGGCAATATTTTGGCCAATATATTAATGTTAATAAATGCCAATTTATAGTGTTTTACTTTTTTTTAGAGTGCTGTCATTTATGTAGGCTAAGGTCCTTTTTAAAGTTTTTATTTTATATTCTTCTCTTTTTATTTGGTTTTATTTTATTTAAACTTTGTTTAATTTTTTTAGGCCTATTTTGTTTTCTTATTCGTTAATAAACGTTTTATTTTTTTTGGGCCCACAGTTTGCCGATTTTCACTTTTTTCAGCCTATGCATGGGGGTTATTTTTATTCGTTCGTTATGCTAATAAAAGTCTATAAATAAAAGTTTTATTATCAGCGAGTTGTTTTTTTTTGTCTATTCAAGCAATTGACGCTTATTTCGAAAGTGAAAGTATAACGCGCACGCATTTAAAAGCTATTTAACCCCCCCCGCCCTGCCCTCCACGGTGACACCGGGATTACCGGTGTTGTCACACGTCGATTAACCGGTGGGAAATTTTCCTCACCGCGGCAACCCTACCCCTACTCCTAAAAACCAATCCGTTAGCATTAAAATGTATTACTTAGCTAGTTGTGGGACCCCTCGGAAGTATCTGATTTGAAATCTGCCACCCTTACTCATGGAGCCTAGGATTTAGCCAGCATACTGCAGTCAACACCACTGTCTCCTTCCTGATTCCTGCAGTGAACATGCTTTCTGTGCCGTGCCATGCTACGTGATGTTTTGCCACAGTCCTGGCCTCTCTTCTGTATGACAGTCAGCTGCCAAAAGAAAAAATCAAAACCCAATGCAACTCTCCCTGGAGCACATTTCTGCTTGTCATGCTAGGTAGTCTCCCGCTCCTTCTCGACAAGAGCCACTGGGCAGGCAAATGAGCTCAACGTGGCTGATTCGCAAGTCAGATGCATCACACTCTGATGTTTTTTATTGAAATGCAAACTGCTGTATAGATAAATAACCGTCTAAACAGATGAGGGCTGTTTGTTAATGGACCACAGAAGCCACCAGATCACGTCAAAATCTCTAGTGAAAGTCAATTCACAATACAGATGGTTCAGATAATGAGTGATGTAATGGCCGACAGTCAAACAGTTACTAAAAAAAACTCAATAGAACGTCAGATCTTACTTCACCAAGCAAACATTCTTTTCTACAGTATATACACTCAGCAAATTGCAAATATTTTAGAACAAGGTCTGTATCAAAGGTCATTTTGTACTGAACCTTTCTGAAGAAAACACATTTGTGAGGATGAGGTCATTGGCATGTTGAGCTCATTTGTTTTAGCTCATTCTTTCTGCATTTATTCCAGCACATTTAATCGGTAAAAAAGCCAAATAAAGTGTACTAAGTGCATCTTCTAGAACTGCACATGCTTAGCAAATAACATACTACAGATACTCTCTGTTGTCAGTATTGAAGCATAACTTTGTACGCTCAATTAGATCACCTCCTTTTCTGAGAGAAATAAACAGCCACAATGGGTAATTACAAGCCAAACAGACAAGAGACGTTTCAGACACAAACACATATAAAACTTCACAGGGGCCTTTGTCTCAGCGGCTTCATTCTGGGCTGGAAACCGGACCAAGATGTCTACTGTTCCCTCCCACCTCTCAATAAAAGAGACAACAAACAATGGGGTTGCCATGGTAAAATCAGAGCCCTCTGCCACAGCATGACAGCGGATTAGTCAGTGTGTCAGTTCTGCCAGAGATGTGTAGTAGCATTTCCTCCAAATCTCCTGTATTCTCACCAATAGCACAAATGCTAATGCTTGCTAGGTGTGTTAAGATTACATTCAGCCATCAGAGTACACTGAGGAGCTCTTTTGGAAAATATTAACTGCAGAAACTTGCAATTTACATATCATCAGAAGGCATGTAGAGGCAGCAGCGTACATGACATGTACAAACAGAGACGGGGAATATTTCTTAGATTCTTTATACTATGATGTGGTTTTCAAGTGGGCATCTGCAAAAAAAATGACTCAAGACATTTTGCTCAGAGCTAAATGCACTTTACTTAGGTCTCAAAGACATATGTGAAGTCGGATTTTTCATAAATATCACTTGGTTTTATATTTTGTTACATAAACGCATGAATTTTTAAGTGTGCATCTCACTTACCAGCCTCTCCATCTCCTGCTCTCTGAGTCGCTCCTCTCTTTGGCGTCGGTGGTACTCAAGAAGATCGTCTTCGTTGTCGCTGATCTCCGTAATGCTGTTTTTGCGCTCCCTCATGCCTGGGTGAGGCATCCGGTGGTCCCTGTGGCCTGCTGACATCTTCCGGTGGCTTCTGGGACTGGATCGGGGCGATGACCCAGGAAGAGAACCAAGGCTGAAGGCCGAAGACAGCGAGTTCCCAAAACTGCCCTTCCGTCCACTGCCTTCCCCCATCAGTCCGGAGGTGGGTGAAGGACTACGAGCACGCACACCACGAGGACTGAACGGCTCCTCCGAAGGAGACCCTGCTTTCCGTCGGAGTCTGGGACTCTCTGGCACAATTCTTGGGCATGGAATCTCTGGAGTTCGCAGGGTTCCTGGTAGAGCTCCTGGGAGCACAGGAACCCCCCTGCGGGCTATAGAGGGGCTGAGAGGGGGAAGTTCCCTCATGCTGCTCCCTTCAAGGTTCCTGCGGGCCAGCCGCGGACTTTCTGGAGGCTGTAGTGTGCGAGGATGCGGGTGTGGGGGTCCACCCTGAATGATGTGGACAATGGGGTCTAAGGGGGGCTGGAAAGATCGCGAGGGTGGGGAGAGTTGGTGAGAGGGGCTGGACGTCAAGGAGCGGTCTGGCTGAGGCTGTTCCCGGAAAGGACTTGAGGGGCGATCCTGGAGAACAACGGCAGTTTTGGATCTGGGACTAGAGGGCGAGGATGATGGGGATGCGGTGGAGAATTTGGGGGTGAATCTGGGACTACCTGGAACTGGTACCCGACAGACAGATGGGGCATCAGACAGGGCAGTAGAGCTTGAGACTAAGGGCAGCATGTGAGTCTGTATGGGGCTGTCTGGGGATTTAGCCACCAAGCTGTCTTGGTTAAACCCCTTACGACTTGGCTTTGGGCTTGGCGGTGCTTCTAAAAGTGCCTTTCGCTGGAGTCTGGGACTCTCAGGCACCTTTGGCCCACTGTTGCCACTGGAATAGCTGGGCAGTGTGGTCCGTGGCTGAGGTATGGGTGGCTGGCTGGTGTAATTGTAACTAGAAGACCTCACTGGCACAGGAGGAAGCGTGTGAAACTGGTCCTGACAACCACTCGGCGAGGGACTGGTGTAGCTGCCACTGCTGGCGGCCGATGGGGACGAGAGTGGAGAGAAAGGAGGGGAGTTATTCTCGTAACTGGAGCCCACAGACATAGCACCAGGGCTCGTTGGGGGCGAGAGAAGGAAGCGCCCCCCTCCGTTTAACATGGGGGACAGGGGACACTGGGAGATAGGATGACCAGAGGGCTTCTTTGACTCAGACGAAGAGGGCTGAGGGTCATCCATGACTAATGAGTCCATAATATCCTGAAGGTCCTTCTCAATGGAACTGACAATGGCACTGTGCTCAGGGCGCACTCCCTCGTTGGAGACCAAGTGAGATTTTGGCGCTCCTGACGGGTGGTTCCCATTGACCAAGTTCTCAGAATCTGAAGGGAAAGATAACAATTATAAGCATTTGCCATACACAAGAATCAAATGACACATATTTTAGAACAGTTCAGGTGTAGATTGCTTATTGATTCATGGTTAAACTGGGGGAGTTGAACTGGGTGAGTTGATAAAGAGCACTAGTACAGTATTTAAGGATTTGACCGATGGATCAAAAAGTAAGTTATATTAGTGTAATAGCAGAAATGTTTAAAAAAACTTACAAGAAATATGTTAATGAGTGTTAATGAAAGAGTTACAGAAACTTCAGCCAATACATGTACATTTATTTTAGTATTGTTTATTGCAAATATTGTTTATTTTAGTATTAACATTAGCTGAATGAACGAACTAAACTAAACTAGAACAAAGTTTTGGAGCATTTAATATTTTGTGTCTAAATGACATCATTACATGATGTAAATAAAATGCTGAACTTGTTAACTGAAACAACCGGTCCAAAATAATCGATTCTCAAAAATGAATTCCCATCACTAGCCAGATGAGCCAAACCGAGTACAGAAAATGACTAAAGCACTTAAGAGTAAGTGGATGCATTTGGCTTCTTCTCCTTACATAACCCCAATTATTATCCTCAGTACTTCACCTGAGCTTTTAATGCAAGTACCTGCAGCTCTTTTGGCACTGAAGAGATGCATTTAATCCATTAGCCCCATTCAACAACCTCCAAGTTTAACACTACTGCCAATCCCACAGAAGACGAATGCTCAAGTAGAAAAAGTGGCTACCAAAAAGTCTGCCAGGCTCCAGTCTGAGAGGATAAACGTCAAACGAATATGTGCTCATATAGCTAAATCACAGACAGCCCTGCTGGTAATTCAATCTATCTCTCAGGCAACTGACCACCTCAAATGGTTCATCTGCTAAAAATGAGACAGACCTACAAAGTAAAGATGGTAATTATCTAAACTGGGGGTTTTCAAACTGTGGTCCCGGAAACCCCAGGGGGCTGCAAGGTAATACTATGGTAACGTTCTTTGTAAAGCGACTTTGAAACGACTTAATAAAAGGCAATTCAATTCAAAATACATTTAATTACATTTTTGTTGTTGTTGGAAATACTATACAAATAACAGTATATTAGTGTGTGTGTGTGTGTGGGGCATTTTGTAAATTTGTAATCATATTTTATAATAATTAGCTTGGCTGTAGTATAATATAGTATAAAACAAAAGCCAATTGTTTAAATTTTAGACAACTTGTTTTAGAATCTCATGCTAATCATGTTTCTCACACATGACAAATGGGCCTTTATACATGAAATACAAGATCCTTTATATTTTAGTAGGGCCCCTAAAACAATCGTCATATTTGGGGGTCCTTTGCATCACAAAAGTTTGAAAACCTCTGATCTAAACAATACTACTTAAAATAATCCCCAACTTATGATTTTTGTCAGTCAATTTGGAACAAAAAATATATTTTTTTATTTAACACCCCAAAAGTAACACTTATCAAACTTATTAGATTTGTGCAATATAGTCTATCTACATACGATTGTGAGTCACAGAACAGATTTCACAACATCCTAAACTTGATCAATCTTGCCCTTGCCAGCTAAGCGTTTGCGTTTAACCCACAAATCTCTGTCTTATTACAAAACACTCACTGTTCAAACTCCTCACAAATAATGCATAAAACACAACCCCCTTTCCAAGTTACAGATCCCCCTTTTTTTTTTACATAGTCATCGTGGTTTAGAAATAAGTCAGAGCAGCTGACGATGACTCTGGCTTAATTTTCCATTCAATTCCCACTGAACAAGAAACGGTTTTAAGAATACACAAATACATAGATGAAGACAGGCTAATATATTAATTCTTCCATGTGTCACAAAATAACACTTCAGCTTCGACTATAAAATGATACATATGTTAAACGTCCGTATCTGACACATATAGCCTCGTCTATAATGATCAGTAGCTTACTTACAGATGAGAACACGCCTGTGGAAACGCTAAACCGTTGCGTTTGGTTTATAACCCATAACCGAGCTCAGATTCAAAAGACGGTTCCCGCATTCCGAGTGAAGACCTAGGCCAGCTGTGCCGGCCACACGGTACCCAGGCAGGAGTAAAACGCCGCAGATGAGATATTCCAGCCGGGCTTGGTGAGCCTGGCGCCGTTACACCATCGCTGAGTCCCCCTCCCTCCCCTGTCCACGGTGCTGATGTGACTGACTGCTGGCTGCAGGGGCGGGGCCTACACTCTTAAAGCGACAGTGCACATTTTCATGCTATATTCATATGGACACTTATGTGACTGTGGGTTTAAACTGGTAGCTGATATACTAGCTCATAATAATATAATAGGCCTATATATTATTTAAGTTGCCATAGAATAAATGGGATAATGTAGACAGACACAACAATGAAATATTGCATGCTTCTCATGAAATATCATCAAGAACGTCGAGCAGTCCTGCTTTATTAGATCGAGGCAGCCGGATATTGAGGGAATATGAGGGGAACAGTTAGGAGGGGATAGGAGAGCAGGGTGGGTGGCAAGATAAATATAGATATTGTAAAAGATACCCCTCAACTTTAAATAAGCAGAGCATGGCCAACAAAGCTGTCTGAACTGGAAAAGAGATGCAAGAGGAAATAGCTCTGGCACAGAGAAAGTGTGAAGGGGGTTCTTTTCCTCTATAAATCAGTCTATAAAAAAATATCAGATGACAAAAGTGCATGAACAGCTTCATAAAAAATATTTTAGATATGTAGTTTTATATAGAATTTAGACACTGGAGAAATAACAACAAATAAATGGTGAATGGGAATGCAGCGGGAATGTTGTTTATGAAAATCATTTCTTTCATGGTGGAGAGAATTTATTACCAGCTCAGGAAATGCACTGCACCAGCTGTGTTTATATGCTATACTTGTCCTTTTCTGCCACACAACAGGAAAAGTCAGGAAAACAACTCGGTAAATATTGTAAATGCTCTGTTTAAACATTGGCTGCTGTGTAGTACTGTGAGTGGGAGTGGAAGATGTAGAGCGCTCTGTCAGGAGACCCACAGGAATGAGTTTCTCATAAAAGTTGCATGGTGCAACTCAGGATCGAGGCTGGCTTGTATTGCTAACAGTTTGAAACGGAAATGCAGAAGGCCCCGCTGAAAGCTGCTACCTGTGCTACTGAAACAAACCTTGCCATTCAGAAATGTGGACAACACCCTGTAAGCCTAAATTTGCATAAATGTCCCATGTGTAAATCTGCATCTGTTTCTTATCCTTACACCACTTGTTTTTTTTTAAACATGATACGTAAAGCACATTCATATGCAATTATGTCATAGATGTACTCTTTTGTATTATTATTTCAGAAAGTACACACAAGGTTTTTAAGCTTTGAAGGAATGTCTTTTTTTCCACACAAATGACGTTTTACACAACAAAGGCTTTGAGGTAAGCGTTAGATAATTCATGCCAGAGTCACGGTGTGTTGTGTTCTTCTGTGGGATATTGCGTTACCTGTGAGGGCCCAGTTTTTCACACTGGCTTTCTGTCCTCCCTCAGGCATCATGCTTTTCATTCGGAAAGCCTCCTCGGGGTGGTTGAAGCGGTAGAATGCGGACTGGCCGAAACACAGCATACAGCCTGCACACAAACCAAAACAACTATTGTGAAGTTGAGAAACACTTGACAGCAAACATATGCCCAAAGAAAGCATTTCAAATAATCTTGGCAGTTTTAGACCAGTTTTGTACCGCAGTGTGAGAGGTATGGAAGGGGGGGAGAGGAATATTTGCCATGAACAAGCAGGAACATCTTACACTTTGGTGTCGGATCAGACTCCTAGCTTGCTGAGTGAGGGGAAAAATAGACAAGCTAAACTCTGGTAGTAGAAAGTTCAACATTAGATCTAAATTAACCCTATTTACATTCCTAATACAAGTTTCTGGTCTTAAATTGAATGATTTCTTTCTTTTTTTAATTTATTTGCTGATGTCATCAAGCCATCTTATTTTTGAGCCGCTTTCATCCAACAAGATCACTTTTAACAAATAAATAAATTTCCGGCAGATCAAATCAAGCACTTTTTAAAATACCCTATCAGTACCATATATAATTATTGTATTGTCAATGTTGAATATGTATTGATATTGCATATTTATTTGTCAATGCTTTTTTTTTTTATAGATTACCTTTACTTATATAATTATAGTATACAATAACATGTCATTTATCAGTTTTATTATTTATCAGTCCTGAACACTGTTTTGTGTTAGCTTTAACGGGGTCATGAACTGGCTTTTTAAATTGTATTATATTGTTGTCTGATGTCACCTTATGACATTCACTTGGTTTTTGCATTCAAAAACATCAAAATGAATAAATAATAGGCTATTTTCTACCCTAGTTTTGAGCCAAGCTCAAAAACGCTTGTTTTTTATGGGCATCTCGCACTGAAGACTTGGAAGTAAACGCCCACTGCTGTGAGTGGATAACAGTTTTACATATTATAATGAGTTTTAACTCACGTGGGGAAAATTGTTTTGGAAATGTCGTAAAATGGCAACTGGAATGATTCGCCCATACATGTTCGACCCAGAGACCGTGTGTTGCACCATTCCTGTCAGATCCAATATAGACAGCACAGCACCGATCTTAATCTGTCTGCAAATCCAGCCTTGTTTACAAAACAATCCTCAGTGAAATGAAGCAACAGATGGACAATTTTTAAACATCATCAGCTGGAACATCATTAAACAAAGTTTAACTCCAACGGAAGCTTATGCAGCCACTGTCTCTTCCACAACCAGCACTGCACAATATTCTGTATTGCTCGGTAGCTTGATCTGATTTGTCATCACGAGGTAGGCATCTATGTTATTTAGCTATGCGTGTAATGCGCGAATTGGTGGGCGGGGCTAAACCGACCATGTTGAAGTAGGCGTCGATCTTCTTCTGCGGGGGTGGTGTTTTATTCTCTTTGATGTCATAGTTCACCACTTTGAAAAACGAGTCGTTTGCTGAGCCTGGTGTCAATAAAAGCTTTTATTGGACTAACATGGACATTTTCAGTTCTGAAACTTACAGGATATTCTTTTAATATGATGAGCTCGAGGAAAATTTGACTTCTCAGATTTCTCATCACCCCTTTAAAAGTGAGGCATATACAGAAAGTGCTTTAGTGTCAGGCAATATGTTGGGTATTTATATGGCCATACAAGGCAAATATGTATATGATGACTTAGTTGGTGATCTCTCAACAAAACAAAACAACAATGAAACAAACTGGTGGGAAATGCAACATCAAAAAAAGCTTTTGCGATATAAACCTGCCTGATCTATTCTGGCCAATCACAGTATTTATTGAAGGCAGGTAAAGGTCTCGTTGAAACCTTTCCAGCCGTAGCAGATGTGTGATGAATGCAGAATGCCAGATGCCCTTTTGTTCCAGGAAGAACATTTGATTACCCCTCAGGTTCTGAAAGGACAAAGTACGCTTCGAGCACACAATGAAACCAAGAACCACTCAAGCAAAGTAAATCGTATACTTATTCTCACATCCATGTTTTCTTTCATGTTGTTAGTGAATAAAAAGAATATGGATTGTTAACTGATGATCCCTGTTGTCATAACAAGACTCTTCAAGAGGATTGCTCAAGTCTTGACATGCTCTGCACATTCAAAGTCAGCTAGGCAAAAGTAAACAAGAAATTCATAATACACAAAACACATGTGTAGAACAGAAAGTTACAGTAAAGAGTTTAAATGAAAAGACTTGTTTACATGCCTGCTCAAAAAGGTTTAGTTTGAAGGAACAGTATATTGAGGTCTGTGGAGTAAACCACATCAGCCAAATGTTGTTTCTGATCTATCGATCGATCTATCTATCTATCTATCTATCTATCTATCTATCTATCTATCTATCTATCTATCTATCTATCTATCTATCTATCTATCTATCTATCTATCTATCTATCTATCTATCTATCTACCTACCTATCTATCTATCTATCTATCTATCTATCTATATCTATAACGCAACACAACAATATTACATTCAATATATTTTCTCCTATGTGTTACCTTATTATTTCATCCAATAATGAAAATCTATCTGTCTATCTGGGCCACAAAATACCCCAGAACAGCAATGAACGAAATAAACATCATGCATTGTCATAGCTGAGCTTCACTGTTCCACCATGAGAGAAACCAGCAGTAAGCACAGCATGCAGAGCTCAAATGAGCTCCAGACCACAGCTCAGACTGCAATTCAATCAATACACAGAAGGAAAAAAAAAAAGAAAGTGAAAAGTTAGTGCACACACATTAGGAGCAGTGAGTGAACACACAATCACTGCAAACCGCACACCCGGAGCATTGGGCAATGGCAGCCATTGGGGGTTTAGTGCCAAAGGGACCTCAGTCGCTTCCTACCGGTAATGAGAATCAAATCTGAAACCTTCGGGTTATTAGTCTGACTCTCTTACCATTAGGCCACAACTGATCTACTAGAATAGATCTAGGATCATCTAAGATCTACTACCATAATTACTATTCAAGCACACTATAAATAATTGTTGATCGATAAGTTATGACATGTTTTTACATTAATTTAACTCATCAAAATAAGTTTCAATATTTTTTAAACAAAGTTAAACACAATTCAAAAGTCAGTTTAATGTAATTTGAGCTAAAATGACTTAAACATCAAAGTATATATATATATATATATATATATATATATATGATGTTTAAGTCATTTTTATGATGTTTTAGACCATTTCACAAGATGTAAACAACACTGGTCCAGAAGCACTTCCTGTTTCAGTTTGTAACTGTTTTCTTTATTTCACATGTAAAGAAAACATCTTAAAGATGTTTGTTTAACTTTTTGATTCAGTTTTAAATGTTCTGTTGGTTGTATTTTATCTCAGCTTATATGTAGTGTTAAAAAACTGAAACAGGAAGTGCTTCTGGACCAGTGTTGTTTACATCCTGTGAAATGGTCTATATATATATATGTATATGTATGTTAGTTAACTTTTATCATTATGAAAAGCAAAGTTCCAGGAACAGCTGAGCACTATTGTAAGTGTTTTTTCAGTGCATTTCACAGTACATTTCATAGAAACACATACTGTAGTTATTATGCAGAGAAAAGTGGGATATCAAATATAATGTCTTTATGTGTGGCAGAAAGTGAAAAGGTCTGTGTTTAATATAGTCTTGGTATGCAGGAAATGATTGATAGAGTAATACCAACAGTAAAACAGGAGGTAAGAAATCCCCATGGTGTCTGCCATGCTGAGAACAGTGCAGTAATATTACATAAGTTAATATGATACACACACAATGTCTCATGAAGAAGAAACATAGCTTGCAATGAATGACTAGCCAACATTAACACTTTAGGTGTCAGTGAAAATCACTGAAAACCCATTATATATTTTCAGATTGGCCACTACAGTGCCTCAAAGGTTGATGGATTTACCCACAATGCTAAGTGAAGAGTCTGAAAGTGGATTTATGGAGTGCAGCGATGGAGGGTAATCTACAACACTACAGCACACAAGGGAAAACGCATGAGCCAAGAATCACACCTGCTGAGGAGGTAGTCTATCTATTGATCTCCGCTCCTGCCACCATGCGTTTTAGACGTGCTGCTAGCATTTACTGAATGATGCCCAATTACAATATTCAAAAAAACATCAGACGTCAAGCCCACAAACCGCCCACAGTCACTGAGTTTGAAAATGCAACAGGGGTAAAATGCTAAGTTAAGCACGGACAGTGCTTCCCCTGCTACTGTTTATAGATGGCCTCTCTCTGCCAGACATTATGGATAATTTTAACACAGATATTTTTGGAAGTCAAGGAGATGTTATGAATCACGATTTCAGCCCCCTGTGGCACTGCCCGTTGCCGCAGATATTAATGTGTGATCATGGTGCTTTCAATGAGGCGTATTTACCTATTTTTTTAAAACGAGGTGTCGTAACTTAGTAGGCCTACAAATACATTTATAGGTAAAGTTACATACATTTATAGATTTGTTAAATAGTTAAATACATTTATATAATGCACTTTAATGGTAACCAAACAGTTCAAGGTCCAAAAGACAGTTTCAGTGCAAACTGCAAACTATTCAAAGGGCTGAACCGTTTGGTTACCAGTAATTTTAAGCATTATATGGAGAAAAGTCCTGGAATGTTTTCATCAAAAACCTTAATTTATTTTCGACTGAAGAAAGAAAGACATGGACATCTTGGATGGCATGGGGGTGAGTGAATTATCAGCAAAAGTTATTTTTTAAAAGTGAACTACTCCTTTAATTCACAGTGAGAAAAGAGATGATGTGCAATGTATATAATGGGAAAATTAAAGCATTTTGTTTTGTTTTTACCTTGGATGCAATTAACCCTATCCTAGGAGAACATTTAAAATAGCATAACAGGGACATTTTAAAAAAAAAAAATGCAAATCTTTTAAAGAAGCACAACCTCATATTTATATTTGACTTCTATGTTCCATTATCATAGTGAATTCCTCTATTTCAAAAGCAACTCTGGAGTAACAGAAAAATATTGCTCAACAAAAAGTATAAAGCATACCGATGACTCATTTTTAAATTTCTGTTGAAATAAGATGCATTTTCCAGAACAGTGTGGCCTGCTCTTAAGAGCAAAACCACTAAATAACCTCCCCTTGTCATATATGACATCCCTAGCAAAGCATGACTAAGAGCCATTTTGTAATCAAATTCATGAGGCCATTTGCAAGAAGACAGGCCTCACTGGCGAATGACAAAGAGTGGAGAGAGGCGCGTGAATCTGGAAAGCACAGCAGGAAAGTGTCTGTTCCCCACACACAGCCCGTCTCCCCAACATTAATCAGAGAGATTGATTCCCCACCAGTCCTCAACACAACATCCATAACTGCACTGTGAGAAGCCAAGCTCATTAAAGAAAGTGCAAGTGTAACCAAGCCAAAATCATCTGACAAGAAATAAATGAATGACATAGCAGTGAAGGTCATTTTTTAAAATAAAGATTATTTGTTTATTCGTTCATCTTATATTTTTATTTTAGTTAAAATACTTAAATATACAGTATATATTTAAATAAAGTATAATATGTTATTTACAAAATATATAAATATTTTTTTTTTCCATTTAAAAAACGTTTAATAATGTATGTATAATGTATCAAAATAGATTTTATAAAATAAATGGATGGGGTATATAGTATTATATATAATGTTTATAAAATTATTAATAATTATATTAATAATTATATATAATAAATATTATTATTATTAAATATAATATTATATATAATATAATATACAATTATATGTAAAAAATAATATATATAATAAAATTAATATATATTAATAATTACTAATATAATTATATATTATAATTATTAATAATTATATATAGCCTAGTATATCATTTAATTAATGGTTTAATTTAATTAATTGTATTTTTCATGTTTATATCTTCTGTCTCTGGGACCCCAAATATAAATGTAACATTTTAGAGACTTTAAGTACAATTTAGTTCTTTATCCTTCAATGTTAAGTGTGTTTTATAAGCTAGGCAAGACCCTTGGGTCTTTCAGACATCATATAGAACATGCGAGTCAATAAAAAGTACCAAACTTTCTAAATAAGTTATAAAAAGCCATATCTTTTCATTTTCTAACACATGAAAGCAATACAAAAACAGATGACCTTACTATATGGCACAAACCCAGCAGTGCATCACAAATATGGTGGGAAGAGTTCAAATTTCTTCTAAAAGAAACAATAGTGACTCAGAGACCAAGTTCGTCATCTTGACTTGTTATATCACAGCAATGAAAAGGGCTGCATATAAAGTTTGGTTGTTTTTGACAGAGTTATTCACATCAGTTGTTATCCAAACTACAGATCAGAGCAGTAGAGATCCACCTCATGCACTTTCAGTAAAAATAAAAGTGCTGGATCTGTGTCAAACCCATTGCATAAATTATTGCATTATTGTTTAGATCTCAATAAAGCTGAGTCACGGGTCCCAAATCGTTCCAACTCAAAACACAGGCAAGTGAACAGGAGACCGAAGACGTCAAGACAAAAATGCCAAAAAGAATGCTCAATGGTTGCCATGGCATTAAGTTTTACTGCGCCTGGAAAGGTCAAAACCTAAAGCAACACCGTTTTTTCATTCCCCAATTCCACACATACCAGAAATCATGTGGCTCGCAGCCACAAATGATACAGCTTATGTGTGCCAAATATAAAGATAAATAAGATAAATCACAATGATCACAACACCAAGTGTTTAATCTATGAAAATGCATTGCAACAAATCATTCTGAACGTAAAATGTAGATGACACACAGAAAAGCCTTTCAAGTCATGGACCAAGCACTTAGATCGAGGCTATTTATTGAGCAGATGGTTTTACATTTAGTTCAGATGAGGTTATGTATGAACATGGTAACAACAGGGTACTTAAAGCTGAATAATAAGGAGAAATCGCCTTATCTTTCCGTCAACTATTCCAGCAGGGTTGCCAATATACGTTCAGGACAAATAAAAGCATGTGTGGATAGTCAGACTGAGCAAACAGTGTGTGGAGAATGAGGAAGGGCTGCATAGAAACAGGATTAGCAGCACTCTTGGGTCACATTGACCAGGAATAGAAGTGTAACACTATACACACACACTCATGCCTCAGCCAACATGGACGAGAAAACCTCTCTGCAAGATTTGGACCGGTTTATTGTGGGCAATGCGTCCTGTGTATTCCCATATATATATATATATATATATGTTAGTGTAGTTAGTTATCTTATTGCTATTTTGATAATTATTTTTGGGAAAAAAGTGCCTTGCTCACCAATAATGCATGTTTTTGATCAAAAACCAGCAATATTGCATATTATCGCAATTTTCATGTATTTTTAAAATGTAATTCATTTCTATGATGTTAAAGCTGAATTTTCCACATCATTACTCTAGTCTTCAGTGTCACAGGATTCTTAAACTGAAAGTACAAAAGAACAGCATTTTTAAATATAAATCTTTTGTAACACTTCACATTTATTACTAGCACTATCAATTTAATGCTTCCCGGCTAAATAAAAGTATTAATTTCTTTCAGGAAGTATATGTGAATACAACAACATGTAAAGGCAACGTATCTAATATCTTAGAGCTTATATGAATATCCACAACTCAAACCAATTTATTAGGTCTTCATACACTTACTTTTAAATCCAAACGGTTAACTTCCCGTCCCATCTGTAGGTAACATGCTATCTGTCCCTTTAAATGGGAAAGCACATGGTTTTATACTACAACTGTAGCAAGCATGCAGAGACTGACTTGCTTGGTCGAGGTAAATCCTTTGTTCATGGAGTATTCATCAATTATTCCCTATGCACAATATGATTTCTTTATCGTTTAACAGTGCAAACAGCTATCCAGTGCACGCAGTCGTAGTGAGGAGGCTTCCACTATAAACCATACATCTCCACAGAAATATAATCCTGTCCAACGAATGGCAACCCAGAGGTGGTGTATTGTATCCAAGCACTTTTGAAGTCCCTGAACCCCTGCACACTTTCGCACTGATGGGTGGTAAAGTTGAACAGCTGTCTCCGTCACTGGTGGAACAAATTTCCCTCTCAGATTAGGGATGGGAAGGAGGAGGTGTAATTGCTCACCCCTGAGTCAGAGCCTCCAATCTCTGCATGTCAGGGTGTGGGGGGCAAGAGGGGGGGGGGGTTCTGTTTCACTTACTGCATTTAACATTCTTTCCACAGGTTCCTGCTCTTTTATGACTTTACACATAACAGATAATAAAAACACAGGCTGCACTAAATGAGACTTTTACTATGTTCATTAATGAAATATTTCAGAGCAATCGTATTGAACAATAGTGAAACAATAGAAGCTTGCACAATGAAGATTACTCCAAACACACCCCTCCCCCCCCAGCCTGTTTATTCAAATTGTTCCCTCAGACAAAAGACTCAGCGGAGGAGCATACTTTCTTTCGGTTTGGGAGCATTGTTTGCCTTTCATAGATTTTACACTTCAAAACCATGCTTGAATTTTGACGTGACTGATGCGGATCACCAAGTAATGACTGAAATTCTTGGCCGTATTTGATTTGAATGAAGTCCTGAAGGATTGAACTGTTGCAAATGAACAAAAGCTACCTTGAGACAGGCGCACAGGTTTGGTGACCAGCAGTCCGTCCATGCTACACTGGTTTCCACAGGGGTGCAGAGTGATGACTCCAGCCCTGTTCTCGATAAAGCAATGCTGAGCTGCGATCCCCGGGCCCTGGATGCTGATGTCCATGGCTCCGTGACCCAGAGTGGTCTTGCCTAAAACAAACAACCCCCACAGGATGTTGATTTCAAAGATTATTTGCTCTCAGACAAAATTTCGGGTTGAAAGTACTTCTCAGGTAAAGTTTGGAAAGCGGTCAAGGCACTTTTATGGTCTGTTTTACTTTTATGCACACTAATGTTCAAAAAGTTTGTCGTCTGTAAGATTTTGTGATGTTTTTTTTTTTTGTAAAGTTGTATTTTATGCTCACCAACCACTTTTATTTGGTCAAATATACAGTAAAATAACAGTAATATTGCGATTGTTTTGTATTTGAACATTTATTATCATCGATGTTGAAAACAGAAGTGCTGCTTAAACTGTTTGCGAAAACCATGATACATTTTTTCCACGATTCTTCGATGAATAAAAAGTTCAAAAGTACAGCATTTATTTGAAATAGAAATCGTTTTTAACGTTATAAATGTTGTTCACCGTCACTTTTGATCATTTTATTGCATCCTTGCTGAATAAAATTGCTTTTTAATTGACTGACCCTTTTGAATGCCATCTGAATACACTTTATTGCCTTAATACTCATCCGGTTCAATGAAAATGCAGCATAACAATATGTATAATGTAAAAATAATCTAACAAAATAAACCATTGCAATGTTGTGTCAAAATTATTAATATACATTTTTACAGAAATATTGACTATGGCATATTGTCTATTACAAACAATCTTAATAGAGATTTTTTAAATTATAACTTAACTGTGTCCTAATTAGGCCTACTAAAAAGATAACATTGTCAGTGAAGATCTTGATAAGTATTAGACGCATGTGAATTATGTACAAAATTATAATAAATGTATTCACTGTTAGACATTGTAAGTGGATATTCATGAATTGTGTTTTAAGAAATGGAACGTGCAGTTGAAGAAAACGCCAATAAATAACAATTATATATTATTTGTCATTTATCATCCTCCAGAAGATTGTGAAGCCTATAATGTTAGATTAAACTGAAGCAAAATCACTGATGTTGGCCTGCTCTTTGTCAGAGAGAAGAACCACATTCCTCAACCCGCTTCCCATCTGCCCCCGTCCACCCTCATCTGTTATCAGGCACGAGATAAAAGCCTGTGACCAGAGAGGACCTCAGAATCACACAACCTGTATCAGTTTATAATATTAAAGTGCACAGACACACTAATAAAAATTAAATAAGCATTCAACACCTCTTCTCCTGTGCCCTTTTCATATCCTTCATGATAACTCCATGTGTCTCTGAGGAATTCAGGCAGATGGACACTGATAAAGCAGACACTGGTCTGGTGAATGGCTTGTCAATATCAGAGAAAGTAAGGAGGTGGAGATGATGGTGGGAGGTTAGGAGGGGGTTTCTACAACTAAGAGAAGGTGTATTTAAAGACCTCATGCTGCTTAAGGCTCCGGGTTGGGGTTATTAGCTTTTCAATCACAACACAGAGGTGATGCAGGGGATTTGACCATCTGTGCATAGGCCTATATGTATTATCCTAAAGGTTTGTATTTGTTCCCACACAATTGGATTACTGGATCATATTTTGTAAAATGTATACTTGTCTACTTTGTGCAAACGGAGAATCTTGGAAAAAAAGGTTGCAAACATTTAGAAAAAGTCAGTCCAGAAGCACTATAGATAGTATGATAATATATTACTATCTCATTAATATGAATGGTAAATTTAGTTTAAGGGCCAATTCTCATTAACTAGTTGCTTATTAGCATGCCTGTTACTAGGATTTTGAATGTTTATTAGCATTTATAAAGCACATATTAATGCCTTATTCTGTGCAGGACCTTATTCTGCATCTCTACGCAATTCCTAAACTTACTAACTTTGAATGAGCAGTAATTAGGAGTTTGTTGAGGCAATAGTCAGAGTTAATAGTTGGTTAACAGTGAGAATCAGACCCTAAACTAAAGAGTGAACATATAAATATACCTGTATAATAATAACCTTACCTTCGGGCAGGGGTAAGAGTGTGATGGCTGTACTGAGACGGCCACTTCCTAGACTGACCAAATGGGGGCGCTCTGCTTGGAATTTCAGTGCTTTACCGGTCTCGAACAAATCCAGTGGAGTGCTCTAAAAAGTATCGTAAATTAAAAAATGTTATCGTTGTGTCATCCTCATGTGATTCTACATCCAAACGACTTTGATTGCATCCGTAACAGCTTACTGGCAGTCTGGGTAGGTAACTTACTCAATTTCACTTTATTTTTAATGAGCGGGGGCGGCCATTTGTTATTTGAATGAGCAAGGCTTCCGGTGACATCCGTTTCTATTTATTTTAGCTGTCCAAAAACTGTTCGGAATGCTGCTTGATATTACGATATTACAAACTGATATTTTGTTATTATATTATTTTAATTTCTCATCATAATCATACACACACTAATTTGTAAAAAAAAAAAAAAAATTCTTCTAATTATTAACCTAATGATATTTACCAAATGAATTTGATGCATTAAAATAAGTTAAGAAAAAAAATTAAGATATATCAATCTGAATTCAGTTTTTCCTTTAAAATGTATTGAAAAAACCTGGATATATTAGGAAGCCCTATTTTAAAAGGGCGATATTTAGACCTGGACTAGTCATGTACATTAATAAAACGGTAAAACTCTATTTGCATTAGTGTAAAAAAATAAAAAATAGAGTAGGCTATTGGGTAGACATTGTGATTAAAAATATATATATATTTAAAATCCTTATCCGTAATCCTTTTCAGTAAATCACAAACAGCAGGAAAAGTCAGGAGGCCTTTAAATGTTGTCAACAATGGAGTTCAATTGAATTGCTTCTTTTAATGTTCATGTCTAATCTAAGAGGTAAAAGCCTTTTTTTTACACTGCTGTAAATTGATGGATTTGAAATTTCATGATTTGATATTTCACAACAATAAGAAGTTCCGAAATAATAATTCAAGCTGAGCTCTAAGCGGTTAGGTGCTCATCTTAATTTTCTCTTCAGCCCTATAGTGAGAGAAGAGCCTTCAGTTACATCTTGAGAGTAGACCTCCGTGGAAACTTAAAGGCTCAGCAAGGGGGAGGTTGTCATGGTAACAGGGAGAACTGGTAATGACTGGGAATGGAAGACTGTACCCTGTAATTCTGCAATCATGCAATGACATCATTTTTCAACTGAAAATTAGCAAAATCCATCAACTTGTTTTGATGGTAAATTCTGTTCAAGGCACAATCATGATATGTTAATATGCACAGGGTTTCATTTTGCACAGACTTATGCAATATAGGCATATTATTTTTAACCGTACACCAGCCTTCCAGATAATTGCTGTGTGCACCCACCTTCCCAAATATCTGCTAAAGACATATCACCTCAGGGCTGCGGTATACGCTTGAGTTAGGATAAACCTGGCTGCTTAAACAAGATTAGCAGGAGGTAATTAGTGTATTCGGTTTAGGCAGAGTTTACAGGATGTGAGTGAGAGAGGATCATTGTTTTTCATAAGTAAGACCATCAACACATCGGCCATGGATTATCAATCACGAGGAGTAATACGTGTCAGCCATGTTGAAGCAGAAGGTGAAGATGGCAATGATGCCCCCAAGGGTCTGTTTCACACTTTGACTGTCACATCGTATTATGAACATTCAATCCTTTCTGCCAGACAAAAGCTCCCTCTGTGCTGAACAAAGGTGTCACTATTAGAACTGGATTTACCTTCTTACTGTCATACAAACTGTAAAAATCATTAATTAGGACAAAAAGTAGCTTTCCACCTCTGTGAGCTGAAGTTTTGCTTATAACAAAAAAATGTAAATGAAAAATATAATTATGTAGAAAATAAACAAATACAAAAATAGCATTTTACACACACACACACACACACTGGAATATGTGGTTTACAGGGACCGTTCATAGGCGTACTGGTTTTGATACTGTACAAATGTATATTCTATATTTTTACACTACCCCTACCCATCACAGAAAACTTTATGCATCTTTTGAACAACAAAAACAACACTGTTTATGTTTTCTACGCCATTTGGTTTATGAAGACACAGGAAGTGTAAACCATATTTACATTGTAATACCCATGTCATTATTAATATATAATTTACTGTTCTTTTTTTTTTTTTTTTTTTTTTTTTTACATTTTTTATGTTTTCTATATGTGTATGTGCTAGGGGAACATTTCTTATTATCAATAAATATTTAAACTAAACATTTTTTTGATATTATTTTTCTGGATTATTTGTTGAACAGCATTTTTTTTTTAAATATAAACCATTTGTAACTTTATAAATGTCCTTACTATCACTTTTGAATAATTTATTGCTGAATAAAAGTATTAGCCTATTTTCTTTAATAATTTTTTTAAATAAATTTACTATACATATTGATAATTAAAATATAGGGCTGTCAAACGATTAATCGCGATTAATCGCATCCAAAATAAAAGTTTGTGTTTACATAATATATGGGTGCACAGTATATAATTATTTTGTGTATATATATATATATATATATATATATATATAAAGATAAATACACACACATGCATGAATATTTTTAGGAAAAATATTATTATAAAATATTTATATGTATATATTAATTATATATAAATCTATATAAAGTGTATACATGAAAATATTTATTAAATATATACAAGAATGTGTGTGTATTTATATATATATAAAATAATTATACACAGTGCACCCACATATTATGTAAACTCAAACTTTTATTTTGGATGTGATTAATCGCGATTAATCGTTTCCAGCCCTATTAAAATATAATTAAATTATATTACTTATCAAATAAGAGTATGAATGTAGTTGTCACACATATTAAGTAAAGTTGGACCTCACCTGAAGCAGCTGATGGGACTGATGTCCACTGCTAAGATTTTGGTTCAAACTCTCCATGACCAGTGTGTCACTTACTCGCTCGGGGACATGAGAATCCTGCAAGAGAAAAAAACAGTGTTGATGCGACCTTACAAATCATATCAAATCGTTACAAATCGTTTTGTTAGTAACTTCTTATTCTTACAGCAACTTGGACATTCTACTAACTTTCTTTGTGTTGCATGAAAGATCATACAGGTTTGGTCTGACTTGAGGGTGAGTAAATGATTACAGAATATGAATTTTCCACTTTACATTCTTTCACATATTCTCTTTAACTGGTGTCTTAGTACATAACAACTATGCTATGTCAGGCAAGTACCCACAGTACGCACACAATAGTGCAAGTGGGAGACATGCAGCCTCCGGCATTCCCCGTCTGCATCCTCAGCTGACTCACTGCCCTGACGAATAGAGCCTGCACTCATACAAATGGCATTTGCAAACAGATAACGCTGATTTACCACATCGGCCCAACTCACACTGACTCTCACCGGCTGTAAGCGGCCTTTTCCTCCGAGACCTGACACATACATGCACACGGACCTTCCTGCCCTGACATTCCAGTGCTCTTACTCACAGTGCTGTCTTTCACTTCGACCAGAGCAGAACGTATGGCTAAATTTATACATGTACCTGTTGGATACTCACATGCGGAACTGCGTTATGTATTGTAACTTTTGCAGCCTCGGATCTAGAAACAGGCTTGTGGTGAAATGAATTCAGTGAAACCCAAAACTGCATAATCTGAGGTAATTACTGTAATTGTGAGATTCGATGATAGCACCTTTGTTATGAGATACAAAAACCCTTTTTTGAAGGTTGGAGAATTTCAATTGCTCGGCACTGAATCAAATTTCACACAAATCTAACCTTTTAATACTTAAAACCACTTCACCTGAACAAAAAGGCCTTATAATTCAAAAACTGAATCTACAAAGTAAATGACCTGCTCATGAAATTCTGATGATGTTTTAAATATTTAACAACTGAGCATGTATCCGTCACGAATTTAAAAAAGGAAATAAGAAATATACTGTTTGAAAGGTGGAATAGAAAATAAATTCTACAAATGTACCTTCTTCCAGGTGTCCAACGAACACAGCGCCTCCATTTTTGAGCATTAAGATCAAGCTTTTACAGCATCAAAGTCCTCAGCAAATGTAACTGTGCTATTTTCTGTCTCTCTAGATCTTCATTTAGAGGATACCTGCTCCTATTCAAAACAGCACAGACCTGCCTATACATGCTTTGAGCTAAATCACACATTCCTGCCTGTTGGCTACAGCCCTGATAACAGATGTTACTGCGTTGGTCAATAAACGGATGGAGCTCCACAAAAGAAAGACGGCGAATTACAGTGAACGATGATCAAGAGAGGAAGCCTAACAAGTTGAAGCAAACACAAGTGAGTAATAATTGATGTATATGTAAGTCATGCAGGAAATATACAAAGACTATGAGGCAGACAGACAGAAGATCCGACAGATTGAGATTGGGTTTGATCACACTCCAAAACTCTGTTATTGCCACATGCCTCTTAACACATCAAAGCCAGTACGCACAATATAAAAAGGTATTGAGTCATATTTCCCTACTAGTGTCTTTACACAGTTTGAATCTGTTCCAATTTGCAAACGCTCACATATTACCAGACACAACAATGAGAAGGACAGCACATTTTCCCAATGGAATAAGCATAAAGGCTGGTATTGTGTCTCTAAATAGGAAAGCACTCTCTGTGGACACTCCCTGAAGAGCGCAATGGAAAAATGATGGAGAAAAAAATGTCGATAGAAGGCATGTACGTCTGGCATGTAGCTGCTCACTGACTCCAAACTGTAGCTCACTTATAACTAAGCGAAGCGATCAATCATAAGTTTGGATCCTAAAAATAGGTTTTCTAATCGATATCTTTATCTACAGTACATAACACTGTAAAAAAAAAAAATTGTTGGTTTAACTTAAAAAATTAAGTAACCTGGCTGCCTTAAAATTAAGTTCATTGATGGAAAAATTGAGTTTATGGAGATTGATTTAATCATCAGAAACTCAAAATATTATGTTATCTGAACTATATAAATTAAGTTGATTTGACAAAAGAAAAAATGTTTTTATGATATTTTTTTAAAGTGAAACATCTCGTTTCTTTTAATTTGTGTAGTGATTTTAATTAAAAAAATGGTTATTATATTATATTATATTATATTATATTATATTATATTATATTATATTATATTATATTATATTATATTATATTATATTACATAGATCTGTGGAATACTTGATTCTGGTCAATCGTGCCATCCAGCTGTATATTATTTCCTGAAAATAACCGGATAAAAACTGGTAACACAGGCTCATCCGGGTCACTGAAGTCAGCGCTATACACCTGCTAGGAATTTGTGGAAGTTTTTGTTTGGGGAGCTAATACAATATCAAAACTCAAATTAATATTTATGTAAATTATTTGATCTAATTTTGCATCTGGGGATTGCGGATTCCCCTCTCGTTTCATACAAATGCAGTTTGTACACTGCAATGGATTATAAGATAAAAAAACAGGTAACATTTTGATACAGTATAATCTCAATTCAAAATCTCTTATCCCCAAATTAATTTATGTGGCGAAATGCCATGTAATAAATGGAATGACTGTGCTGTATATCCCTCAAATGTCCATATAAATTGAACTTGTCGCTTGCTAGCAACTGCTTTCTCATCGGAAGCTTTGCATTTAAATACCCAATAAAAAATCTCAACGTGGCATTTTGCATGACAACGATATGCTTAAATCAAAGAAGTTTTTCCTTTGAGTTTTCCGCTTACTGACGAGACCATTGTCAAAATAGTGGCATTCTTTCAAACTTTTTCAATGCCCGAGGGTAGGCTTGCTTTCATAATCCTTAAGTATCAAGTTTAGAGCAGATATGTTGTCTGAAAGGTGGATGACACAACATTCAGCTCTTCAAAATGACAGCACTGTGGGCTGGAAGGAGGCCACGGATTAAAGATACATCTCTGGATGGAAAGCATGATTGTGCTTTTTGGAATATAGATGTTCCACCACATGTGATCTACACTCTCATACTTATTGCTGAGGTTTATTTAAAGGATTTCCCTTGAAGATAATATTCTGTATATATTCTCAGGAAATGCTGAAGGAGAAGAAATTTGTAATTGGTTTATAAGACAGTGAGGACATGTGGTAAAGACGCTTACAGCGAGTCCTGTCTGTTGTAGGGTAATAACAGCTTTCTAGTTCCAGCCTTGAGGTGCTGTGGATTATTCATCAGGGGAATTTTAGTTGAGATTTAAAGTACAGGGACAAAGAGAGAGAAAGGGGGAGATAATGAGCTTTTTCAATATCTAGTTGGTTATCTTTTGTGAGCTGCCTGCTCAGAGAACTCCACCTGGTGGTAAACTCTGAGCTCTATACTGTGCTTCTCAAAACTGGGTCTGTTCTGGTTTAGGGTCATGAATGCAGAAATGCAGAATGCATAAAATTAACATAATTATATCATCTCAGCTAAACATGAAAAATAGAAGTCATTTGCTGCACACACGGCTAAATAACTGGTAGCAACGTTGCCAGTTTTGTATCATACTGTGTAACAGTAAACTAACGGCAAACAGCTGATAAGAAGACATTTCTGAACTCGATTTGCACGACATCCGTAATCACAATGCCTAAGGCCTCGGTTTCATATCCAAAGATGCCAGAGGATGTTACTGAAGAAAACATAACACATGTTTAAGATCTGTCCCTGCACCAGGCAACATATGTGCTGCAGCATACAGACGCATATCTAGACAGGAAATTGAGAGGCAGATGAGAAATCCTGCCATTTCTGTGAATGTATGATTATGGCCACAGACAAACACAGCGATGGATGTGGCTGACTAAATAGCTCCTTCCAATTTTAGATCTAGCCACAAAAATGTTGCAAAGCAGAGGAATGTGAAAATGAACTGGGCTATATGAACGTGACTTAAAATAGCATTGTGTGGGCAGAAATTCTCCCACCCAATGTAATTAAGACTCAAATTATGTAATATATCTAGAGGTCTAAACACATCAATTGAATAAAAGAAAAAAAACTTTAAGTACATTGTTTTTTCTTTACAAACAAATATTTACCCATGTCCATGGTTCTTACTCTTAAATTGCTTATCAGAACTTAGCATCAAAGCTAATCTTGCTAATACACTTATGAGTCTCAATCAGCTCCTTGGCTCCAAGCAGTCGGGGTAAATAATCAGGGAGTCGGCCATTTTAAAGACGGTCTAAACTGCAAAATCCTCGCAGTGAGCAGCATTCGCTCCCTAAAAAGTCTCACAATGCACCCTTAAATTGAGAGAGTAAATGCTCACTATGTATCGTTAACTGAAATTCTGAAGGGCAAAACGTAAATCAAGTGGACCAACTCAAAAGGTATAATTAATTTACAGCTGACATATTGCAGGGATATGGAACAACCAAAGTATTTATCAATATACTTTAATTAGCTTTTTTAAAGTAATGTAAGAAAGAAAGTGTTGCTGTTGTTCATAATTACCAGCTGTACATTAAAGGTGTTGTAAAGGTGCCGAAAATAGTCATCAGTGTCCCAATGTGTTGAGATCGAGGGTCCTTTACGAGCGCCTAAATATGTGTACATGAAAATGATTCACAACCTAGGTAGCTATTGAGCTGACTGAGATGTGCCCTAATCATTTAGCATTGTGGGATGTTTTAGGCCACGTTTACACAAAGCCGGGTATTTAGCGAAACGAATATTTTCCTCCTCTCTGTTTTCAAAAATAACATCGTTCACATACCTGCAAAAAAAATACGCCGTCGAGCGCCACCATAACTATGCCAAACCTATTGGTGGCAGTGTAGGGAGAAGAATAAAGCCATGCAAGCCAATCAGAATCCTCAAAATCGACAAGAGAGAACCTAAAACGCCGTTTCTTCCAGTTCACACGACAACACATAACCGGCGTTTTCAGAAACCTCCACTTTGACCGCAGTTTTTAGAAATAATCGTTTTCTGTGATAAAAACAGGGTTTTTGTGTAAACGAGACGCCAATCCGCAGGGAAATATCTGCGTTTTCCCTTTGTGTAAACAGGGCCTTAAAGTGCTGCATAAAATCTGTGGAATGCTGGTTTCTCCATCATTCATTGTGTTGAAAAAGGCAGAGGCTTGGTTACAAGCTAATAACCGACAGACCACCTGCACAGTGAAGACACATGGGCAAAGGTCAACAGAAACCATCAAAGGCCTCTGTGCATGCTCATGTCAGTGTCAGTGAAATATATAACCCTGAGATAAGAATCCAAGAACAAAAAAGAACTGCATTGTTGACAACCAGCCAGAGGAGGTGGGGTTACACAGGCATGCACTGGAGAAAAATCTTGTTCAAGATTGATGTTGTTTTGGAACAAGGTAGCTAACGTCTATCGGGTCTAAGATGGTAATTTGCTGGTTGTTAACAAGCTGACCATTGCCCATGTTAAGTTGGTCTAGGAAACCAGCTATCATGTTCCAAATCATTGGATTCCCAGCCGTGTAAATACTGACTCAAGTACATGACTTTACAGCTCATCTAAACACATAGTAGCACCTCTAATTGCATCAACATCAGTGATAATTCAGTCATCAACAATATTAGTGGGCTCTGAGGAGATCACACTAGAAGATGTCCCTGAACAGTAGAGAGGAAACACGACAAACAGGATGGCAGTAGAGGAGGACCACTGGTGCGTGTTGAGTCTATATGTAGACTTCCTATCGGATAGAGAGTTTCCTGTGGGATGAGGCAGGCAGAGAATGGCACATCACTCCATGTCTTCTCACTGGGTTTCCCCATGCTGCCTTGCCGCAGAGTGATTTTATTCACGCTGCTAGGCAGCCTGGACACCATGAACCAAATTTTCGCCTGAGATAGGGAACCGAACACAGAACGGGGAGGGAGCAGCAAGACGATGACGGCGTACATGCGACACACCGAAGAAGTTTGTTTATATCTATGGATCCATCTTGGCAGCGGATGCGAAGTTACCTTTTGATACAGCCTTTGTGTATACTTAAATCTCTGACGCATCGTCTACTTCCTCGTCTAATTTTCTTTCGCTCTACATCCTCTGGTATCATTGAACCGATTGGCTATGAGCTACATACAGGCCCATTTCATAGACATTCATAGAACCCAATAATACGGCTCAGGGCATTCGTAAACCACGCCTCAAATACGAGAAAATGAACATGTGGTTTCCAGACCACGTCTCAT